CTGCGAAATACTGTACATACTTGTGGCTTGAGAAATGGAAATCAGAAAATAACTTCCTGGATTTGGTATAGGTTGTATACAGGGCTTGATCGCAGTAGGAATCCCAGCCCCTGACTCTCAGCTCAGCACAGCATTTGGAAGATGGGAGCATCCACCCCACTCCAACATTTTGGATCGGACTTTCTACTTCAAGTGGAAAGCGGCTGGGGCAAACATCAGCCACTGGGGTAAACACATTTATTCAAAGCTAACCTCTCTCACTCTTCTGGCAAGGATGAGACCTGGCATGACAAACTGAAACCTAAGGACATTTGTGCACGACACAATCACTTTCCCATCATCCCCACTTTTGGCCTGGAACAGAGACATGTGTCATTCAAACAGCAGATAACAAAAACAGTCCTGTAGCTTTCTTCTACTTTGTTTTTTGCATTGGAATTTATTATATCTTTTTTTCTTTTTTTTGGCAGATGATGTCCCTTCCCAGGCACTATAAGTTTGCTGAAGTTTATCTTTTTTTTTTTTTTAAGATTATGTTCATTTATTTGACAGAGAGAGACACAGTGAGAGAGGGAACACAAGCAGGGGGAGTGGGAGAGGCAGAAGCAGGCTTCCTGTGGAGCAGGGAGCCCGAACTGAGGCTCGATCCCAGGACCCTGGGATCATGACCTGAGCCAAAGGCAGATGCTTAACGACGACTGAGCCACCCAGGCACCCCTGAAGTTTATCTTAATTTAAAAAGAGAGTTTGCATTTCCTAAGCACAAACCAACAGACAAGGCACTGGGAGGAGGGCAGATCTGTGAGGGGGGGCCTGCGGGGGTAGAGAGGAGCCCAGGAGCCAGGGTGCCCCCCAAGGTGGGCCCCTCTCCCCCGCACGCTGACATGGTGAGTGGTTGCACTGCAGGCAGGTAGGAGCAGAGAACAGAAAGGTGGGGAGAAATAACCAGAGAGTTGGAGATAGATACCTGGTGTGGGAGGAGGGAGGAGACTCTTGGAGAGGAAATTTGAAGAAAGGGAGGCAGAAGGTCCAAGAGACAGAGATAGGGGACCAATCTGTCCCAGTTGGCTAGGGATGGCTCCGATTTTGACACTGAAAGTCCAGCAACCCAGGAAACCTCTCTGTCTGGCATACTTCGTCATCCCCTTTTTTCTGTTTCCTTTAGGGAAATCTTCTCCTATGATATGTGGTCTTGGTGGGGCTGTCAGTCGTAACGCCCTTCTCTTCCCAGCTCCTCAGGGCTGGGCATGTGCCACAGACTGGGCCAATTATAGTACCCTATTCTTCAGATACTGATTGGTTCCGGAGCAGACATGAATCAAAACCCTGGACTTTTCTGCTGGATCTAGTAGGGAAGGCTGTCTCTCTCCCTTTAGAATCTATGAAGTATAAGCTTGGGTCAACTGGCTACATCTTCTTAGCAGGCAGAGAAATCCTGTCTGCTGCAGGAAAGGAGAGCAGAGTGAAGCAAAACTAAGAGAAGACAGAGAGAAAAAAGATGAGAGTTTCACTGGAGACTCTTGATCCAGCCATACCTGCAGCACTTCCTGTTTATATCAGCTTGTACACTGCCTGTTCTGCTTGAGTCAGTTTGTGTAGAGTTTCTGTTCCTTGCAAGTGAAAGAATCCTCACCAACACGGTCTTTTTATCTATAAAAGTGAATATAATCCCTTGCAGGGCTCTTGTGAACATTAAATTAGATTGTAAGTGTGAAAGGGATTTCAAAATTGGTAAAACACCATGTACCCCCTCATACATCGCTGGTAGGAATGTAAAAACGGTGCAGCCACCGTGGAAACAGGTGGTTAGGGGCGCCTGGGTGGCTCAGTCAGTGAAGTGTCTGCCTTCGGCTCAGGTCATGATCCTAGGGTCCTGGGATCGAGCCCTGCGTCGGGCTCCCTGCTCAGGGGGGATCCTGCTTCTCCCTCTCCCTCTGCCTCTCCCCCTGCTTGTGCGTACTCTCTCTCTCTCCCTCTCTCTCTCAAATAAATAAATAAATAAAATCTTAAAAAAAAAGAAACAGGTGGTTAGTTCTTCCAATAATTAAGCATAGAGTTACCGTACTACTCAGAATTCCACTCCTAGGTATATACCCAGGAGAATTGAAAACATATGTTCACACAAAAACGTGTACACAAATGCTCATAGCAGCCTCATTCATAATAGCCAAAAAGTAGAAATAAGCAAATATCTATCACCTGATGAGTGGATAAATAAAATGCAGTATACCCATGCAACAGAATGTTATTTAGCAATAAAAAGGAGTGAGGTGCTGATCCTTGCTACAAGAGGGAGGAACCTTGGATACGTTACACTAAATGATAGAAGCCAGACACAAAATACTATGTACTGTATGATTCCATTTACAGGAAACGTCTAGAATAGACAAATCCATCCAGACAAAATGTAGATCTGTGGTTGCCAGGGACTTGGGTAAGGGAATGGGAAGTAGCTGCTAATGACTACAGAGTTTCTTCGGGGGGGGGGGGTCATGACAATGAAATTAGTGGTAATAGTTGCACAACCTTGCGAATAAACTAAAACTTGCTGAATTGCAGAGCAAATTTTATGGTATGTGAATTATCTCAAGAAAAATAAATATGCTACATACATGTGAAGGATTAGTATTATTATTATCATTGCTCAACTCAAATCCCAGCTTCCATAAAGCCCTTCGTCCATTCCCTGAGCTTCTCCAGACTGAATCTGGATCATGCATTTGTCACCCATACGCTGCTGCCCTGTGTGATTTTGACAATGTTTAATAATCATTAAATAATACATTATTAAAATGAGTGATTAAATAGTAAATAATGATCACATCAATAAATACGAGCTTATGTCTTGTCTTCTCAGCTCCATCCCTAGCTCCTTCAGCGTGGACTCCCCTAGTGTGTTTTGCACGCTGAAAGAGGGAAGGCACACCTCTCCCCCTCCCCACCCTGCCAGATTACGCAAAGGCACACATATCCTATTCAGGACTCCCATGCCCTTGATGAGGACAATGGGAGCTAATGATGGGCAGAATAGCAGAATTGTTACGCAGCACCCACTGCATGGAGCCCCTTCAGCAAACAGTGCTGGGTCTTCACAGGTGCTTTGGGCAACCCCCGCTTACGTGGAGTTTGAGAACCACCAGAGAAAGCCTGAATTTGTGTGCGGCAAGGAAGTGGTTTGCAGCTCATTGAATAACTGTTACCAGGTAGGATGCTCTAGGTTCAAAGCATCCTGACTCAAACCCCCTTAAACAACGAAGGGGACTCATTGGTCACAGGACTGGGAAGTCCGCAGGGGGGCAGGCTGAGGGGATAGCTTGATTCAGGGGCTCAACAAGATCCTCCTGGACTTGGGTGCTCCATTCTGCCACCAGCATCCGTCTTCTTCATCCCAAGACCAGATTTCCCTTCCCCACCCCAATCCCTAGGAGCTTCTGGGCCTACATGATTCTTTGTCTCGGCCTGGGAGGGGACGTGGGAGTAGGAGAAGGGAGGATCGAGTTAGTTCATCGTTCCTTCCTTCATTCATTCTAGGGGCCCTTTTAGAAGAGCAAGAAAGCTTGTTTCCTAGAAAACCTTCCTTTGTCACATTTCCCTTTCTTAAACTATGGACAGGGGATAGCAATACACTGATTCACTTCAGCCTAAACCACATGCCTCCCCCAACATACACACATACATCTCCCAGAGACAGAATCAGCTTTTCCCCAAAGTCTGCGGCTGAGTGCGAGAGGTGAGGTTACCAAAATAAAAACCAGGATAGCTAGAGAAGAGAGCAATGTTGGCACAACACCCATTGCTATACTTGCATGAACCTAGGCCTTCTCAAAACCCACCTCCTCCTCCAGGACCCAGCCCGAATAGCAAGCCCTCTGGGAAGCCCTTCCAGTCCCTCCCAGACAAGAAATTCTACCCTCTGTGCACGCCCGCCCCCCCATCACCTGTGCTCATCCACCTATTCATGCATCCATCCACCCACTTACTATGTTCCTGGGTGCTGAGGGCTGAGTGTCCAGTTGTGAACCAAACAGGGATTTCTACCTTAATGGGGTTTTCAGTCTGGACAAGAAGAGAAAAGTTCAATGGTTATACCAACTGATGTATAGTTTCTCTACTGATAAGTACAATGAAGGAGAGAGAGAGAGAGAGAGAGAGAGAATGAGCATGTACCCTGGGGCAGATATGGGTTTGGGAGGTGGTGGGAAGGCTTTTCTGACAAAGTGATGAGGGGTGCCTGCTCTAGCTTTCACCACCTGGGCCATCCCACCCTCTGCCTCAGCTCTCTCCCTTGCTGGGCGGGCCAGCCTCCACACTCACCGGTTGGGGTCCAGGTCCTGATTTAAAGTCTGTGCAACAAATGTGCATGGGATTTAATTGTCCGGGGTTAGAACTACTGGGAAGGAAGGCGGCTGCGTTCCAAAGAAGAGCTTCACTGTTGTAGAAGTAGGCACCGGATCCTCCTGGTTGCGTTGGGGTGCCTCAGGTAGGAAGGGCAGACAGAGTGCAGGTGGAGCAGGGACCCGCATTTATTGCAAGGTCAGAAGAAGCACCGGGGCCTTTACATTCCAGGCTCCCCGGGGCGGGCGGGCAGGGGGACGTTTCAGAATTGACGTTTGAGGGTCATCCGCTCCCCTGGGCCAAGGGAGACCTGAGTCGTGGCCCGGTGTCCCCGGGTGACCTGAGATATCCCTCGGAGCTTTGTGAAGCTCTTCCTTCTGGGAAATGGGAATATAAGCCGCTGTTCCTGCAGCGACGTGGAGTTTGGTGGCGGAGTGCGGAGGGAGGCGCCGCGCCAGGTCTCGGAGGCAGAGGTGGGGTGGGGGGCGCGGGGCGGGGGGGGCGCGGCCGGCGCCGGGGCGCGGTACGCCGCCTGCCCAGGTGGCGCAGGGGCCGAGACTGGCCCGGAGCCCGGCGCGAGCGTGTCCGCGCGCCCCTCCCCGCGGTCCGAGCCCTCCCACTTCCTCTGCAGGAGCGGCGGCTGTCAGGGAGCCGGGCGCGCAGAGCAGGCTCGGGGCGCTCGCGAGGAGGCTGCCGCTCGGGCTCGCTGCCCCGTCGCCCCGCACCCGGGCCCCGCCGCCGCGCCGCGCCGCGCCGCGCGCCATGGACCTGCCCAGGGGCCTCTTGGTGGCCTGGGCGCTCAGCTTGTGGCCAGGTACGTGCCCCTTGCCTCCGCGTGCCCGTGGGGAGCCCCTCGCAGGGTCGGAGCTTGGTCGCTGGTGGGGGACGGGGGTCCCCCGGGAAGTGGCTGCAGTCTAGCCGCCCAGCCAAGCTCCGCAAAAGAGGGAGGCGCGCCCGGGCGACTTGAAGCCGGGAGTTTGGTGTGTGGGGAAGAGCTGGGGAAGAGTTGGAGAAGAGCTGAAGAGGAGCGCGGAGGGCCCGCGGCCCCGCCGGACACGCTGGCCACCCCAGGCGCCCCGCCGGGGACACTCGGGCGTCCCGGGAGCGCGGAGGGCGCGCAGCCCGGGCTGGGAGGGGACGCGACGCGCGGAGCAAGCGCTGGCTCGGCCGCCCTCCTGCCTGCGGAGGGAGCCGCCTCAAGTTCGGGGAGCGGGACACGGAGGCCGCCGCGAGCTGCCCAGAATCCCTCGGGCCGGGGACGGACGAAGCCCCAGGGCGGCGGCCCCTAGGCGGTGGCGAGCCGTCGCCGGCCGGGCCAAAGGCGACGGGCGCAGCTCCGCAGCCAGGGCCCCGGAAACGTTACCTGGCGTTTGGGGTAGGGACAACCCGCGCTTGGAATTATGCAGTTATTCAATAATCTGGGGAAGCCGCAGTCGCCGACACGCGCGCCGCCCGCCTAATGCAATCCAGGTGTCGGGGCGCGCCGGGGACCTCGGTCCGGCGGGGCGCACGACCGGCAGCCAGAGACCAACCCCAGGCGGTCAGCCCTGGGGCAACCAGCGAGGGCTTCTCCCCTCCCCGGCGCCCCGGCCCGACCCGTACCTGTAGCGCGGGGCGGCGGCCAGAGGCCGTTCTACCCGCGGCGACAGCTTTCGGGGCCTCTCCTTTGCGCGGCCGAGCAACCCGGCCTCGCCTCCCCTTCCGCATGGGTTCCAGGCTGGGGACTGGGGCCGGTACCGGGGATCAGATGTGGAGACAGCGGGAGAAGAGATGTAAGGGAGCACAGGTGCAGAACCCCCAGCCCGGGCTCACTCACCCCCGTCCGAGGTTACCTCAAAAACAAGTGCACATCGCCCCTCCCCCCGCCCCCGTCGGTCTATAGCAGAGCTTCTGGGAGGGCCTGTGGTTGAAACAGTCTCTGGCTGATGGAGTTCAGTCCAGATCCTAGAGCCACAAAATAAATATTAACGCTTTAAGTTGTTGGGGGAGGGGGTGTCGGGGAGGACAAAGGAAGAGCTGCCACCAGGCCAGCATTCATCTAGAAACCAGCTGCAGGAGGTGAAGCCCACTCTCGGTCACTTAGGCAGGAGGGAAGACAGCTCCAGGAACTGTCTTCAGATCACAAGGAGATCCAGCCGTAGGAGAAGGGAACGCGCCCCTGTGTGACTCCAGATAGGCAGACCCATCCCACCAGACCCTGAGATGGAGTGGCTAGAGTCAGTCTGGACCTCAGGAAGCTGAGAGGGAAGTCTTTGAAATCAGAACCTGGCTTCCATTCTGGCTCTGATGCCCACAAAGCTGCACAACCTTGGGTACATTATGCAATCTCTCCACAGGTTTCCTTCTCTGTGGAATGGAGATGGAAATTCAGGCTGAGTTCATTAGGTTCTCCAGACAATTAAGTGAGGCACTGTCAGAAAAGTCCTTAACTCAGGGCTTGGTGCACAGCAGGACAGAAGCAATGGTTGTTAGTGTTGTTACTCAAGCAGGAATGGGGGTGGGGGGTGTGTGCGCTAGGGGAGTGGGGTGAAGGACAGGGACAGGATTTGTGACTCAGAATTCCCTTTAGGAGAAAACCACCCCTGAGTTATGTCTGGTCAGTTTGGGTTCTTAAAATATGGGATTCATTAAACATATCAATCAATGTTGGAACGACATCTGCTTGCAAGGAACTGGGGGGTGGGGACCAACTATGTGTGCAATCTAGGCCCTGCCTGGAGCTGGGAATAAGGCAAGGCCAGTGGAAGCTAAATAGAAGGATTAGGGAGTGAATGGCACAGAGAAGCTAAGGGCTGTGGTTCAAACAAGAAATTCAGTTTCACTTGGATTAGCAAGGGAGGCTTCCTGAAGGAGGAGGCATCATTTCAACAGGGTCTTGAAGGAGTGTGGAGAGGCCTTAAAGTAGGTCGGTTTGTAAGTTAGAGTGTTACTTCCTGGGACTTATTAAAGAACAAAAAGGTGGATATTTTAAAACCACAAGGGTGACCGTAGTTTGGACTCTGAAAATTGGAAAGGTCGTGGGGTCGATGAATTCATTCCCCTGGCTCTGGAGCAAGATTGATAATCAGTCTCCCAACTGTGCATCACATGGATTCAATGTGAGGATTACTAGGAAGCATGCCTGCCGGTGACGGCACAGTTTGGCTGATCAGGGGGACAGGGGACCTATCACAGGCCAAGTTGGGAGGGAGTCCGCATTGAAGCCATTATGAGTTCGGAGCCTCTATCTTGCCAGAGCTTCTGCTACAAGCTGGGCAGGGTGATGGGTGGGCAAAGCTATCGAAACCAAGAAAAAAAAAAAAGAAAGAAATAGACAAGACCAAAGAATTTTATAGCTGACATGCAGAGAAAGTAGATCCATTGATAAGTTTCTATCATTAACACATCGGTAGTAAGGGTTGATGAGTGATGATTCTTTTTTAAAGAATTATTTATTTATTTTAGAGAGAGTGTGTGTGTCCGTGCGCAAGCGGTGGGGAGGGGCAGAGGGAGAGGAGGAGGGGAAGCAGACTTCCTGCTGAGCACAGAGCACTACATGGGGCTGGATCTCAGGACCCTGAGATCATGACCTGAGCCGGAACCAAGAATGGGACACTTTAGCGAAGGAGCCACCCAGGTGCCCGGATGAGTTATGATTCTTTCTTTTTTTTTTTTTTAAGATTTTATTTATTTATTTGACAGAGAGAGACATGGCGAAAGAGGGAACACAAGCAGGGGGAGTGGGAGAGGGAGAAGCAGGCTTCCCACTAAGCAGGGACCCCGATGCGGGGCTCAATCCCAGGACCCTGGGATCATGACTTGAGCTGAAGGCAGACACTTCACGACTGAGACACCCAGGCGCCCTGAGTGATGATTGTTTTAAAACCTCAGTCTTTACTGAGCACTTGTTATCTGCCAGGCTCCATAAAGGCACACAGGGAGATTAGGTACAGTGTGGAGGTGAAGGCCCTGGGGTCTCACTGCCTGGACTGGGTCTGGGCTCTGCCAGTTAGGACTCTGTGCTCTTGGCAAACTACTAAGTGGTTCTGTGCCTCAGCTTTCTCACCTGCAAAATGGGGATGAAAATAATAGAACTTACAGAGTTATCCAAAGATTATCCAAATGAGTAAGTGTACATAAAATGCTTGGAAAGTTCCAGCACATTATGCATTCAAGGAGGTTGTCTCTCTTCTCCATCATCAGCAGCAACATCAGCACTCAAGATGCTGACCATTCAGTAAGGGATGTGAGGATGCACGGAGATGTAAACTGTCAAACCCAAGTCCCTAAGAGAAGTGTAAAGGAAGGGCTGGGGCACTGGAGGCTCACAGGGGGCATACAAGGCCCCAGTAAACCCAAACTTTCCCAGCTCCTCTCCCAGAGACTTGGCCCAAAGTCTTGATCGTCACGGGTGTTCAGGGATGTTTTTTTGCCATGGAGGCTGTCATGAAGTCAATGTGATCTTAGTGTGAGTGCCTTGTGGCATTTTGTGGAGCAGAGAAGAGCCACGCCGTGCAGCCTGGCCCTCATATGTCCCTGTGAGAGGGAGTCTTGTTCAACAGGAAAACCGTGTCTGGAAAAAGCACAGGACTAGGCAGCCAGAGTGTGCAAAGACTAAAAAGACCCAAGCCCTGCTCTCCAGCTTTGGAAGAGCAGAGAAAGAGATGAAGCTTGTCCCACCCTGCTGAGAGCTTGTCAGCCAAGCCTCTCCGCTACCATCATCAGCTGAGGAGCTTCTGGACCCTTCCACGTGGCAGCCCTTCCACATACAGCCCTGAAGGGATAGGAGTAGAGTCTCACTTTCTTTCTATATACATAGCCCATCCACCCCACCCTGAACCCCCAGAGATGGGCTGTCTATCTCCTGGCCGTTCTCCTTGTCCTCACCCACCCACACAGGGCTGCGGGCCTTAAGACACTCAGATGGTGACTCACCTTCTTTATGACCTCTCTGGAGCTCTTTCTCTCCCCTCCTGTGGGGGAAGCTTCCTCCAGCAGCAGGGAATTTCCCTTCTATCCTCTCCCCTCATTGCTTAGGACAAAACTTTCTTCTGAGCTGGCTTGGCTCTTTTTTTTTTTTTTTTTTTTTTAATGGTAGGGTTTTTTTTTTTTCCTAAATAGAAGTACAATTGATATACAATATTATATCGGTTCCAGGTTACAACATAGTGAATCAACGTTTATATACATTACAAAATGCTCACCATGATAAGTGCAACTACCATCTGTCATCATGTAAAGTGGTGACAATATTATTGATTATGTTGCCTGCACTGTACTTTTCATCTCTATGACTTATTTATTTTTATAACTGGAAGTTTCTATGCTCTTAATCCCTTTTACCTCCTCCGTCCACCCCTCCACCCCCTTCCCCTCTGGCAAACTGGTTTATTCTCTGTGTTTCTGAGTCTGTTTCCATTTTGCTTTGTTCATTTAGATTCCACCTGTAAATGAAACCATAAGGTATTTGTCTCTGTCCGCCTTAAATTTGACTTTAGTGCAACACCCGCTGGGTATTATCCATGCTGTTGTGAATGGCAAGATTTCATTATTTTTATGGTTGAGTCATACTCCATTGTGTACATACACCACATCTTCTTTATCCATTCATCTGTCAACACTTCGGTGGCTTCCATATCTTGGCTATTGTAAATAATGCTGCAGGGAACATGGGAGGGCATATATCGTTTCGAATTAGTATTTTCATTTGTGGTGAGTAAATACCCAAGAGTAGAATTACTGGATCATATGGTAGTTCTACTTTTCATTGTTTGAGGACCCTCCATCCTGTCTCCCACAGTAGCTGCACCAGTTTGCCTTCTCACCAACAGGACA